ATACTGCAGCGCCGATAAGGCTGTGACGTTATCCGCTGGCATGTATGCGTGCGCGCGGAGGAGAGCGAGCTCGCCCATTCGGCCAGCAAGGAGTTGAGTCATTCAGGGAATCTCTGAACGTCAACGGCTCCGCTCTTTGGGATTTCAGTGGCAAAGCGACTCTTTGTCTTTCAGCTCCTCCGACAACGGAGACGTATTGTGTACTGGCGAATCGTCATTCAGCTGCCACTTTAGAACGACTCCCTTTTTTGGGGGGGTGGGGTGTTGGGGAGGGGGTGGGGCATTAGAGCACGGTGATCATGACACATGATCTGGCAGCATTCTGGGATCCGGAGTCCAAACAAAGCCGCGTGCACAAGGCAAAGGCATCTTGGCATGCGGTGGAGTTGAGCCAAAAAAGCAGGAGGGGGGCCAGTGCCAACGCGATCTGTCAGCAAAGTCATTTGGACAAATCTAATGGCGGTCGAATGCGCTCGTTACTGCTCGGCCAAATGCTCCCTTCAAGGAAAGCGGGCGGGGATGCCCAAAAGTGCTCCGCTCGGTACGCCACGTCCTGAAGGAACCCGTCTGTCTCCCTTTTGAAATTTCACTCGTCCCCTTTTCGTTTGCCGAACAATTTCAATCTCGCTCAGACGCAGAAGATGACGATGACCGCGCGCCAAGAAATGTCTTCTTAGCAGGCAGTTTTTGCTGCTTCGGAGGTTTTTCACTTGCTTCGAGCATTTCATTCTTTCTTCCTTATCGGAAGGTATTGGAATTGATTGAGATTTTTATCGTTAGCCTCATAGCATCGCTTGCTCAGTCATATGTGAAGGTTTTCGGAAAGTCGGAGAAACACACGTAGCGCGCAAGCATGTGTTTTTATTGCCGTTGGGAAAGTAAGTTGAAAACGGGCCACAAGGAGCCCTTTTTCGGTTCGCCGTGTTTGATTGCGTTTGTGTCAAATGTCCCTCCTCTCCCGGCTGCTAATTTCCTATCGGCTCACAGCCGCTTTGCCTGTTTGGAGCATGTTGATTGTTCCTGTTTGATCTTGATCTTGATCTTGCTTGGCGAGGGCAAGTCAAGGCGCATGAAATTGCTCTGCCCACCGCGAGACGTCACTGGCATACGCTCAGTTTGGAACGCGTTCAACTGAAAGTGGCTCGTTTCCGCGACATGACTTTACGTTTAGGGAAGATTGTGGATGGTGACTTGTCCCGGTCTCTTAAGTATTATTTGGACGCCAAGGCGCATCTTTGTCAAGGTCGCCGGCTCCGGACGTGTTCGGAGCGGCTCCTAATTTGGCTGCGGCGCGTGCACCGCGCCCGCATCCGAACACTCTTTGGCTCAGTTCTGTCCTTGGTGCCTGAAAGCAGAGGCTAACGCAGCGGTTGCCATGGCGACCGGGAGCCAGGCAGGGGGTGGGGATGGGAAAAGGAGGGGGTTGGGGGTTCTGTGTGTAATACTGTAATGATAAAGCTCTTCTGGATGCTGCCGCAGTCAACGCAGCACCACAAGGGTCCTGTGAAGGAGGAGCCCGGGCGCCGCCGCCGTCTCCACGTGCGCGAATGCATCGCGTACACCCTGTCCGCCGCTTACCCCCCTTTTGTCATCCGCTCTTTGTGGCCATTGTTGTCGTCCT